TATATATATAGCACCCTGCCATTTTGACCAAGATAACGGACACAAATGTATAAACAAACACAGAAGCAAATAATAGATGTGTCAAATAAAATAAAAATAAACTTTAAAAGCAACCTTGAAAATTTCTCACTTGTTGAAGCATACAACAGTAAGCTTTTCTATCATTCCTAAATCATCTTCAAAAATCTGTGCCATATGCACAATATGCTCATACATTCTATGTTGGCCATATTTATACTCAAACAAATCCCTCAAGCTTCAATGAGTGAAGCGTATTTAACCATGTTTAATTAACCATTCACATGTCATGATAAACGTGAGAAAAATTTACTTCAAAGATGGAGATTATATTAGTCATTGAAAAATAACACTAAAAATATTGAAATGAAGTTCCTTGACTTATCTTTAGAATATTTTTTGTAAAACAAAGAAAATAATATAAAGAATGCCTGAAGACATGCTGCTTCTGTGAATGAACAGACTGTCCACGTCTCGTGAACAACTGGACATACCCAGTTAAATCAACAGAGACAGACAGCCAACGTGCAAACAGTGGGGCCAAACAGTCCCTCCCTCCCATCCTTCTCCTTCACTCACTCAACACTCATTCATGCCCTGCACTGTAGGCCGCACACTCAAAAGGCTCTCTAAGGGCTGCTTCCTCTTTGTGTTTTGCTTACAGTCATGCCCATGATATGCCCCTCCTGTCAGCTCTAGTCCACGAGATTTGCTCACATCCTCCCTTTGCTAATACTCCCAGGCCTCGGTCTAATTATCTCTCCCTTTCCATCCTCACCCCCTCTCTGCACCTTACCTTCCTAAAAAACATGTGCCACACTTTCTCACTGCACTCCCACAACTGCTGAACCAGACGACTTCTTTATAGACCCACTTTTTTTCTTTGCCAATGCATTTTTTTTTGTTAACTTGTTCTGCCTTTTTTCCCCTCTTCTCTTTATACTGACATTTCTTAGGGCTTCAACTGACCTTTGGTATTCTCTCCCTCATCCCTCCTAGAAGGGCTTTCTTCAAACCACATCAAAGCCCTTCCCTTAGATTTTGAGCCAAATTTAACGTCACCCTAGAATCTACTCTGGGTGACCAAAGTAACTTATTTGTTGTTTATTTGGATTGAAAGGGTAGCAGAGAACCCTTTCTACTTGGTCAATCTAAGTGAAAGAGTTGTTCTTCAAACTGGAGGGGGTTGCCTGCATGGCGAGACAAAGGAAAGTAAAAAAATGTGCATGTTTCCATTTTGTTACAGAGGGATGGAGAGGACAGGAGTGGAGGGATAGATGTAGAGTGGCTGGAGTGTCTGCCTCTCTGCTGCTTTGGGCAATCCATTAAAACGATCCCTCCATTAGACAAATGTGAGGGAGGAGGCCAAAGAAAATGGATCGGAGGGGTACAGAAAGGGTTGACTGATCCAGATGGGAGGGAGAAGTGAATGTGACTAAAAGAGGACAGGCAGTGACAGAGGTAGGACAGACTCAGGATAGGATATCAACTGCTACAGAGGATGTTTTATCCACTTGGACCAATTTGGCAGCAGTTTTTGAACATTTTGTGAAGTCTTTTACCTCAATAGACATTATGCTTCCCAAACCAGGTGGGCACGGCCATGTGAACAGTAAATGAGATATGCTGTCAAAAGAAAGGAGAGCACTACAGACAAAAAAAATACAAGAATGAGCAAATGAGGTCCAGAGGAGAAAATAGAACCAGAAGAAATACAACGTAGTACAAAGAGAGAGAAGAGAGAGGCACGGATTGAAGAGTTACAGGACAGCATTATCTTTCATGTCCAATGCAGGTGACTAGCATGAGAAGAATGGATTAAGTATCTCTTCTTCTCTTTCACTCTCAGCCAACAAGCAAGGTCCATTCTGGGAATGGAAAAAAGGGTTTAATAAAAAGGTGCTGTGTTGGTAAGGGTCCAGATAGCCAGCTGCTTCAATGTGGTAAAAGAATACTCAGGTCTTAATTACTGTATAGACCAACAGAACATCGGAGTTATTATAGGAGAGTGACGAATAAACATTAAAGTTTTTATTTGAGTGATTTTTTTAACATGACCACTACATACCCTGAGATGAGTTATAACTTTTCTACAGCTGCTATCTGTATACATACATGTATGTCAGTGTAATATTTTGGTTGTAGACTCACCGGAGGAATATTTCCAGGAGAAGAAACAAGTGTCAACAGGGACAGCAACAAGAAAAAAATATTGATAGAATTTGTTCCTCTGAATGACAAGTCTATCACCAAAAGTGTGGAGGGGTTTAAAGTTTAGAAAAAGCCTTTTCAAATGCTACATATTTAACACAAATTCACCAAATAAAAGTCACGGTAAAACTTTAATATATCAGGAACAATAAATCTTAATTAGTACATCCCTAATACCACATGGATCTGAAGGTATTTTCAATACAAAGGAAATGTTTAAAATGTAGAAGTCAGTCAAATACACAGTGAACAAAACATTGAATTTTACCTACATGCATTTATTCACTTATAAATGTTTTACACACACTCTGTCGCCCACCCATTTTTAGTAGGTTTTAAAAGAGAAAAAGGTAAAAATGTCTTGAAGTATTCTGGTACAAATGCTAAAACATCTTTTGTTTAAACATGTCCGAACTTCTTGGCTTTTCAGGACTATAGTCTGTCAGTGAAAGGGGATTTTTCCCCTGCTGTTAGAGCCTTTGAGCTTTTACAAATACAAAATTACAGACAAACTGAACATTCATCTGTATTCTCTCAAATTTACAAGTTTTTTCTGTTGTGTGGGTTTTAGATCTGGTTTAAATTAGACCAGATACAAAGTCATTGTTTGAAATTTGCAGGAAATCCCTTCTTCTTTAGAACCGATTCAATTTGGATGGATATAAAATATTCCATCTATTGATTTAAGAAATCCTTTAAATCATAAATAAGCTATTTTGACAAAAAAAATTAAAGGTCACAGACAGCTCACTGATGATGCAGAGTGATGTGGCAAACTGTATATTTCAGTTCATGTTTTACTTTTTTTAATTACTCAATGTCTGGCCTCGTCTCAAAAACAAACATTTTTAAACAGTTTCCAGCCAATAGGGCCACTATACTGCTTAAATAACACGAGCAGGGTTAGGAAGCTATTTGTTTATGTGAGTTCAGGTGTTCTAATTTCACTCAAACTCTGCAGGACAGGTAATTCCAGTCTCAGTTAAATGCTGCTTGGTTTTTGTGCGCTCACCTTTCATATTGAAACTTTCTGTTTAAAATCTGTTTTCCTTCTTTTATAATAAACCGACAAAGATTTTCTATCCTCTTTATGCAAAATTTAAATTAGAATACAAATGTGTAGCTGGACATTACATCATGAATGCAATGACTATACCAAGTTAAGTTCCTTTGCCATGTTGCTTAAGAAGAAAAATGACAAGGCTGTTGATCATAACATGTAAAAAATATAATAATAATTTAAGGAATTTAAATATAAAAGATGTAAATCTATCTTTAGCGTTATAACAACTTAATTCAGAAACCTGACCAATAAAAGCTCCCTCAAAATACCACAGGGTACAACTACCAAGTCATTTTGTTACCCTCTAAAGCTCCTGGGTGTGCTATTTAGCTTTAAACAAAAAAAATCCTCTCCCATGGCCTCAGAGAAGGTGAAACTCTAGCTGTGATGTTTCCATGTTATACGGTTCACTGCACTTCAATTGCTGTGAGAGAGTGCCCTCACATGTGTTTGAAACCCAGCACAGTCCACGCATTCTCTAAACAAGTTCAGCTTTGCAGCAGAGAACATCAAACCATAGGTTACCCAGGTAGCTGTGGGTAACGAAGACCACCAACTCATAAAATCCCCTTACACACAACAAAAAATTGCATCTGGTAACACAGAAACAATTGCCATCCTCCTGGCGTTTATCTTAGTCGACTCTTAACTCATAAAACAAATCACAAGTTAGTATTTAGAAAACGATTTGTCCTAGTAGAATGTCTGTAGGTTCTTGTAGTTGAAAAAAATCACATCTTTTTTATCTTTTCTTGATGGAACCCTGAACATGATTGTGACTATCACAACATGACTGTCTTTAATAACTTTAAAAATGTTTGATGTTTAAATTCTCTACGATTAAAACAATGCTAATGCTAATCATGTTGCTCTTTCTATGGTGTTATTAGTTTTAAGCTAAAATAAATGTAAGTTTTTAGTCTGTAGACTGATTTTAGATTTGTTTTTTTAACAAATGTTGTAGAAACTTCTTATTTGCATTGCACAAAGTCAATTTTTACTCCACAAATATATCAAAATATTAAAAAAGACCATGTTTAGGGAAAGTTTAGCCTGCCCACATACTGCAGCTTGTTACCTAGCTACATCAATATTTGTATAATTGACTAAAGGTAGACATGTCACAGTGCCTTAAGAAACAGTGTGGTTTCCTACATATTCTTAGCAGATCTGTTAGCTTGAGGCTGCCCCAGTTTGTGCCAGACTGCTGTTGTTCATTAAACTACAGTACTGCTCTGCACCGCATTTATACTACACCTCTGAGGCAAGCATATATAGCACCCCGTCTAATTAAAGTACATGAAGTGTTTTAACTAATACACACCCACTGTCATGTTAACCCCAGGGCAGTCCCCTCCCTCACTTACAGCATTTCTAAAAAAAACACCCACACTTCCATTCCTTAAAAGGTTAGCCCAAACTGTATCAAATGGTGAAGTTTAGAGAGTTTACTCCTGTTTAGTTACAGTGGATGCAATTCTGAAATATGGGTCCACATTCASTGTAAACAAACGCTCAGCTGAATCCATCAAAAGTCACCTGGAAGCTTGAATTATCTCACCTTACATTAGGCTCAGTGTAGTTTAGGTAAACAAAAATGGCAGAATCATAGGAGCGTAAGCAGAAATGTTTAACTGGAAATATAAGTGTAAAAAATAATGTAAAGAAAAGAGAGAAAATGCTTCTGCAAAACTTACTGTAGATGAACAAGTTTAACAGTTACTAATCTCACTCCTGTACACAACTCGTTTTATTTCATCTGTAGTTTATTGTTAGTTTCTGTCATTTATGTTTAATTCTTATCTACTATGGTAGTGGACATCTAGTCATAAATTCTGCATGCAAATTTTTAATTCAAGGACATGTCAACCATCAATATAAAAAAAGTATTTTGTGCAGATTTAGTTTTTTTTTTCACTTTGAGATTCATTGTTTGATTTTCATTGTCTTCGCAGCCAGTCTCTTTAAATCGGAAGTGAAAACAAAAAAAAAAAGTCTAATAAAACTGTGCCATCTCCTCAGTGACGTTTGGTACACTTTCAGTGAGAGGTGAGGACACTTACCTGCCACTGGGATGTGATGCACTCCAGGAACAGAGGGGAACCTCTGAATGCTGGGGGGGACGGTGCTTCCTGGTGGTCGCTGCTGGTTCTCGGAGTGATTGCTGTGAGCTGCGAGTGGTGCGCACCCGGCACCGTGCTGCTGCTGCTGCTGGGGATGGAGCTGCTGCTGCTGCTGGAGGTGATTTGACACTCCGCTGTTATTCCCAACACCATACTGCTGGTAGTATCCGGAGCGAGAGCGCGATCGAGTCCTAGGGGGCTCCATGGTCATTTGGTGGGGGAGATGGAGGAAAAATGAAGAGGTTGCGGCCGGGGACTGTGGCGGAGAGCCGTTGGTCGACCTTAGCGGTTCTGCAAAGCTCCTCACCCCGCTTTGGCTGAAACTGTAGCCCCCCAGTCCTCTGCCCCCCTCTGCGCCTCCGTACTCTGAACGCACCGTCGCCCCTGCCTCCGCCCCTGCCTCGTCGAATAAATCAGCCCCTTTAGGGACAGGATCCGGGGTGGAGGGCAGCCGGGGGCAAACTCTGGGCTCCTGGGTCGTTGGTTGTCCAGCGGCTGCGATTGGCATTTCCTTTTGGGGGATTTCCTCTGATTTTTTTTTTTTTTTTTTTTTTTTTTTTTCTCGTTTCCTTTCACAGCAGCAGCAGCTTTTGAGACTCTGTTGTAAAACAAAATAAAGATAGACAGGTTCAAAAGTTAAGTAGAGCTAAGACATACTTCTAAACTAAATTGAACTGTTTACACAAAGTATAAATCAGCTGTTGTTTACTTTATAAACAAGTTGTTTTGAATGAGTGATTCCTGCTTAATTTTCTTCAAAGCAAAAACTGGTTCAACAACTAATGTTAAAAAGCACTACTTATCCAGAAACTAAACATATCCTGACTAAATAAAAACGAGCATAACTATCTGGCATAAATACAAATATATTTTAATAATCATAACCAACTCGGAGCTCACCGGGAACGCTTTCTTCACATCCACGGACTATGGCTAAGCTAGCACAGATGCTAACATTTGGTACAAGTAGTACACTGTGAGACAGGAGATATTAGGATTTTTAGCRAGAACATCGCTTTTCTTGTTACACAGAGTTGTTTCACCTGTTGTTGTTTATCCCCGAATTGAGTTTAAGACAACTTTATCCACTTTAACCATCATTTAAACTAGTTAAGCCAGTCTCTGCGTAATGTCGCTCGCTAGCTTGGCAAGCCTCACCGAACCCCTCCTCCAGCGACCAAATACAGAGGAAAAAACACGGTACCTAACCACCCACGCCTCGAATCCCTTTAAAATGCTTAAAACGAACACAAATGGCGAGTTTCCTCGTTTAAAAAACACTTGTTTCGTGTGGTTTCGTGGCGTTACGACGAGCCGGCTGGTTCTCCAGCTGTGAAGACGCGAAACGGCGAAGCGCAGCGAGCGTGAGAGATAAAAAGTAATCAATCTAACCTTACAAAGAAGGAACCAGGGCTAAAATTAACACGTTTTAAAGGGATGGCCCCGCCTCTGAATCTACAGCTGAAACCAGGTCTGTTTTTCCTGTCATGACTAGTTATTTGGTTGATTAAAAACGTACCTCCGGTGCGCTCTCCTCCGCTGTTCCCCTATCTGTCGATATTATTGTGCGCCCTGTGTCAGTGTGAGCCCAGTGTTCGCCTGGTGTCAGCGTGAAATGTGACAGACCGTCAAAGCTCAAGTCGGATTTCACCAGACTCGATGGGTCGATAACAAAACATCCGATCGGGCTTGTAGTTCCCATCAGCACACACGAATTACACTGTGATTACAGCCAAAATAACTTACTTACAAGTTTTACAAAGTCAAAATTAGTCTTATTTTTTACTAAACCTATCTTCAAAACATCAACTCTTTCCGTCGTCAAACCAGTTTAAGATCGGCATTCGATTTATAATGTCTGCTACATCAAAAGCTCTGGATGGCAGAGGCAGGCTAAAAGGGGGTTTAAATTATTTATTTACAAATACTGAGCCTCCCCATTGCAGCTGTTTCCTATGGAGCCAAAAGTTCACTGTAAATAAGTATTTTACTCCGTTTGCAAAAGTTGTATGTAAACACATTTAATAGAAATAAACTACCTCAGTAGAAAGAAAATATAAAATATCAGAATAATGGTGAGAATTTAGTTTTATTGAGCTAAGATTTGAAATCCATGCTCTGCTGATACTAGACTTGGGCCATTCTGTGTTTAATATAATTTCACATTTTCTTGCTCACATGTTAAATTTATAGGAAGCTTTGGGAGATTGTCTGGCCTGCTGTGTCAAAGGTCAAAAATATGCCATGTGATAAATATTTATAATAAATGTTGATTATTGATGTTTCTTTCAAGTGTGTGAAACAAAAAAAAAAGAAAAGAAAATGTGTGTAATTTATGTATGCCCTCTTTTACATGTGAACGCACGCACCACTCACAACCATCCCTGTTCATCTAGCTATACTGGTTTGTTTTCACACACACACACACACACACACACACACACACACACACACACACACACACTATACACATATATATGTGTATGAGAGAATATATATATACACATAAAATCTTCAAATTATTTAGCAAGATGGGTACATAACTATGATCACTTCTGACCTGCAAGCGGTTTTCTGAACAAGAATAGRAGTGTTCAAAGAAACAAAGAGAAACCCTGTAATATAATTTAAAGAGTTTAATGTCAAGCTTCCAGCATATAAACATAAACGGGAGCTTTAGGATAATATCTGCAAGAGCGCAATGCAATCCTAGTCCAGTTTCACTATTAATACCACAGTGGATAGACTAAAACTTCATGACAGCATTCCCACCAGCTGACTTTTCAATGAATTTTTTTCCTCTGAACTCCTGAACCGACGTGCATCTACCTGAGCACTCTCGCTTTGACTTCTCTCAACATCTTGTCAGAGCTGACAGGACAAGTGTTTTTAAAGTAATGCCACACAGTCTGCGTCTGCATATGTTTCTGACAGTCTGGTTCCTGCTCCCAGCCCACCCAGGCGGCAGGTCAGTACGAACAGTGCTCGTACGATTCGACAGGGAAGTTCATAAAGACTCACAGAATACACACAGAAATAACCGCTCCTTCACACCACGTGAGCTTTCTCACTCCTCGCTGTTTTCACAGTCTTTAGACAAGACAAAAAAAACACAGCTGAGAGACAGAGTTTGGGAAGGGAATTGGGGGATAATGAGCAGAAAGAGAGACAGATGACAGTTGTAATTTTCTTCCTTCGTCATAAATCTAGAATTCATCGCCAAAAAATGAGCTCTCAACTCATTTAAGCTACATTGTTAAAGCATAATTTGAAATAGGTTGTTAGAATGATATAAAATTGCAGTCTTAAGGGCAACCAATGCACAGTTTATACAATAAGCTCAGTGTCACTACACACACTGAAAATTTGACATTCCTCAGTTAAAATTCAATAATTACTTCAACTTTGGCTCTGTGACTGCAGCTATTTCGCTACATGTTAGATGGTTATGGTTGCATGCTTTGCACAATAAAATGTACTTTTCACTCAAGAAGGATATTGGAAATACCATAGACTGCTTTTGTTCAGCTCACTGGCTGAGAAAGGCTGTTCAAAATAACATGATTCAAATGATCATAAAACACTTTGTCTCTTCTCAAAACTTCCATTTGCCTTACCCATTTCTAGTGTGTGTTGTTATTGTACCACTTTCATTACAATGTTTCAACACAGCAACAGATACCAGAGTGACAGCAGTTCAAGTCGTACATAGTGTACCACAGAATCAGGATATAAAAACAAGTTAGGGCTGATGCCATACCAGGTWAAGCAAAGCCACACCGTTCTTCAGTTAAAATAAGGATGTACTGGTTTTATAAGAMTTGAATGAGTTCTAAACCTGGGATGTGTAAGCTCCTAATAACTCTCAGTAAGGTTAGGGTATATATATNGAGATGGGAATAAGGACATAATAAGTGGGCGTAATAACAGGAGAGAGTGTATAGAGACGAAAGGGCCTCCAAGATGAAGGGTGAGTGAGCCGAAGAGAGAGAGAGGAATGGAGAGGAGTAGGGCGTATCATTACTAAGGGAGGGTGAGTATGCGGGTGAGAAAGTGGAGAGAGGGTGGGGAAGTCTCATGGGTGTGTGGGAGGGTGGAGGCAGGATGAGTAAGTGGGTTAGGGGTGGAAGGAAAAGGGGGGATGGGTGTGTGAAGGGCTCTGGGGGATGGGACTGGGAATGGATAGGGTGGTTAGAGGGATGGTGTGTGTCTGGCTGTGTGTGTGTGTGGAGGGAGGGGGGGCATTGTGCTGACATGCTCTCTTATTGGCTTGTTCAAATGCTGGGGGAGGGGCAGCCACAAACCATACTCTCACCAGCTGTAGGGAGAAACAAAGAGAGGGAGAGAGGATGGAGGGGGCCTGATATGTGTTTTAATGTTGATATTCTGCTCTAATTAGATTTCTGTCAGAGTGCTGGAATGAATGGAAACATTTGATACAGGTAAAAGTAGGTGGGTTTGACCATAGTTAAAGGGTTTTGGGACAAGAAGGTGTGGACCTATAACAGAAAACATAGATTAGAGAAACAAGTTGTCTTTAGAATATCCCTGGATAAACATAAATTTGTGTCAACTTGTTTAATTAGAAAACTCTTTTTAAAGTAATATGCAATGTCATTCATTTATTTTTTGAGTTATATCATAATGCATTGCATTTTATTGTATTGTGTGTATTGTCATATTATATTTTAGTGTATCATATCATAATAGTTTTTCTCCAACATGTTTGAATTGTAAATGTAACTGTAACATTTATACTAGATTAAAGTCTTGTCTTTCCCTCTATGCACACTGAAAATTGTTGAGTAATAACACTCCTGATTTGACACACAATGCTGATTCAGATTTGGACAAAACCAGCCCTGGGTTGAACTCAACACAGAGGTTCAGTCAGATGTAATTTGTGGAACTTCTCGTTTAAAATGGCAGAATGTGAAGAATTGATTCTGATTCTCCAATCCAGAATCAGAATAAGTTTTTTTGTCATTAGATTAGGAGTTTTATAGTGTCAGGTTATACCATACCATACCATACCCCAGTGGTTCCCAAACTTTT